CCCAATATTTATTTTACAAAACACCACAGTCTGTGAAGAAGTAGAATAAAAAAAAACATCGTGGTCTGTGTGAGGGAGTGGAGGTTGGGACTACTTAGAGATAAATCCTTTCTAAAACCTATGAACAAGAGGGAAAACCTAATCTTTTCACCAAAATCTAAAAATAACAAGATATTAATTTAGTAAAAATTAAGATTATTGTTTATTATTTTACAAAATAAAATTTTTAAAATATAATGTGGATGTTGAACTAATTGTTCTACTTAATTGATTTTTAAATAATAAACGCTAGCTTCAATCTACAATATTAATAGCTTTTAAGAAATAATTCATCAGTAACACTGCTAACAGCCATTTTTTTTTTCTTTTTTTTTTTATTTATTTAACAGCCATAACTATTGAAGTAGGCCTACTATTACAATTGAACATTCGTCAGAGTGCATTCTGTTAAAAGGAATATTATTTGTTAGAAAGTTGATTAGAAAACCGATATTGTTTTATGTATAACTATTATTGTTATTTAAAATGATTTGTAACGCACAAAATACTTGTATTAATGTTTATAATTATTTCGTTTTGTACATAACAAAGCTACATAACAAAATATTTTGTCAACAAGTTGCTTATTTTAAGTTTTAAATTAATTTCTTTTTACTTTTTCAAACAATTATACATTACCTCCCTTGTATAAGTTTATTAAAGCAAGAATTAAAATGAAGGCTGGTGATAAAAAAAAAATTAGAGTACTGCTATAGATAAAAAAATTCCCTCTTTTACATAGCATTCTGTAAATAACAGATGTCTTATGTAATTATGTGCAAATCTTATGTAAAGTTTATGTCAATTGGTTTGCTGTAAATCTTTTATATATGTTACTACAGGCAAATGTACTCACACACATGTTGATGTTACTTGTTTTAATTGGAAATAAAAGTATTACATTTTTTTTTAAAGGACTGTTATAGATCTAGATGTTTGAAGGGGAAGAATAGTTGTACTCAAAATATTAAGTTACTTATATTTTTTTAAATCCCAAATATATTACAGCTCTACTTAAAAGTCCAAGCCCTCCTTTTCCCACCCCTGATAAGGTAGAAATATAAAAGTTATACTGCAGATAACTAGTTCATGTCATACGAAAGTTATACTAGCACATAAATAGTTGACTTGATATCATATGAAAATTATGCTTCCAGATAATTCACTTCATGTCAGTTCAGCTAGGTATTACACTGCCCACATAACCCAAACCTAGAGAAACAGAAAAAACCACTATAAGCACCAAAGTTATATAAATACCAAAATATATAGACCTAATCAGACAAACAATAAGAAAAACAAAGATTTTGTAATTTATTCATACATTTTATTATATTTTAGGTAATTTGACTGTCACTAATCAAAAATATTTTTTCTTACACTATAGCAGGTAAATAGAGAATTAAAAAAATTAAAAAATAAACATGTGGGGGTGTAATCAATTTTAAATAAAACATTTTTGTTCTGTTTTAAAATGACAGAAGTAAGAAATCAGGCCAGCATTAATTTAGAGTAGAAATCACATAGAACTACTGGCATATGGCAAACATTCACTCAGAAGAAATCAAGGCTAAACAGGAAATTATTCCAAAAACAACAAACAATTTAGTTCCAATTTTGTAAAGATAAATCAATATTTTTTTTTAGCATATCCTTCCTTTCCTATTGATAAAAAAAGTGTCATTAGCGTGAATATTTTTAAAAAAATTTGTATTTTATGCATTATGCAACTGGACACAGCCATTCAGGGATGTAATTTAAACATTTGTTTACCAACCTGTAGAGTGTGACTAAGCAGCCAAGCCATATCTTTACAAAAACTACTAAACTTGCCGGAGTTAACATTTTTCTTCAAGAACTTAAATAATTAGTAGTAATTAGCACCAAGATTGACTACTCTGTATAAATTAAGCTACATTTCACATTAAAAGCAATGTAATATATTTGTATTATGCATCTACATGTTGATATTTTACATCAACTACTTATTTTTTTTTAAATGATTAAATAAAAAAACTAAATGTTGAATAGCTAGTTGTTTATAAAAACTAAAATTAAAGTATTGCATAAAATCATCACTTCTTTATTTGTTACATAAAAATAGGATATTGCTTGTAAAGGGGAACCAGTGTTTATCTACTTAAAAGCCAAGTTTTAAAGAAACACATACAAAGTGGCAATATAAATAAAGAAACCCAGCTCGATCATTTAGACCTCTAGTTCCCACCATTTGTTAAAATAGCCCTTCAAGTGTAATCAAGTGGGGAGACATTTCAGGTCACAAGAAACATTATGGGCCTTAGTTCAGGCTTCAAAGTGGCACTTAAATTAGGGAGGTCCCCACGTTGGAAAAAATAATATCTATAAGTATGAAATGAGAGATTATTCAAAACTTTAGATCTGGAGCACCTTTCCAAATTTATCCCAGATAGGATTATTTATCCTATCCCTATCACAAACCAAATTGCTATCCCAACCTTAAACCATATCCTAACTTATCCTTAACCTATCCATATCTATCTCTAAAAAGTTGGGGGTAATTGACAGTGGGGTAATGTCCCACTGCAGTATTTTTAGTGTGGGCTGGGGGGGGGGGGGGGGGGAAGAATAAATTATCATGGGGTAAATTATCCAAGGGGTAATGATGAAGTGGGGGAGGGAGTAACTAGGGGGGGGGGGGGTAATTGGTGTGGGGGGGGGGGTGTGTAATTTACTGCTCCCTCTTTACATCTACATGAATTTATTTGAAGGACATTATTGCTTGTGTATAAAAAGTATAACATTCACCATAATACCCGTTCATGACAGGTAATTAGGCGACCATTCAGTTATAATAGCAGTGGAAGCTGTTGATCTAAGTATAAGCATCAAGCAAACAAATATACATCAGATCAAATAGACCAACCTACATACTTATTATGCCCACAAAAATATTTTTTTTTACATCAAAGTAAAAATGAAAGTGAGTAATATAAATGAATATTCCAAAAAATACAAAAAAATGGCACAGGAAAATTGTCAATCCCACCTTTGTAACAAAGTGTTAATAATTAGTGACTTGAATATAGAGATATAAAAAAATACTACAGATATACATTGTAAATTAATGTCTCTCTACAGTATAATACAAATATACATGGCACTATAAACAAAATCCAAGCCACCAGAAATGGTTTTTGTGTGGTTAAAGTATCTAGCTTTGTTAAAGAAAGTGTTTTACAGTTCTTCTAAAAAGTCAAATTTCAACCTTTTTGATTGCAGCCTAAATACTGAATAAAATATGGTGTAAATTTGTTTCATGTGTGAAGGTGGGCATCTTTTGTAATGAAAGAATTAATTATTGAGCAATTAATGTAAAACGGTAATAAGAATCAAATGATGTGAATACATTTTCTATGGTCTATTTGAGAAAATAAAACAACAAATATAATAAAATAAAAAATGTTCTTATAGTTGTTTTTTAAAGCACTTCTAGTGGAAATAAAAAGGTTTGAATGGCAAATGTTTAAAAATATGCTGCCAAATGTTAAAAATAAAACTCTGGACATAAAAATGGTTAACTAATCAATATACTGTTGGCTAAAAACTAAATCACAGAAGAAAATAAAAAAATGTATAGATTTGGCCTTCCTTGTGTTTACCTTCCTGGTTTATATAAAATATCACTGGCCACTTGCCAGGTAATACACAATTTCAATACTGTCAATATACCCTTTCAAGCATTGAGACTGAAATATCTTTACAGTACTAACACAAAAAAACAAACAGGAACAGCTAATTACCCTTTGATAAAATTCATAACACATAAAGACATTTTATTTTAACGACATAACTTGGTTTTAATGAAAAACCGTTTGAGATTTAACTACACACCCCCCAGGGCCTAACAAAAACTGAGCAGAAATACTCTACTCTCACAGTTTTTATTTTGATTTATGGCCTAAATTTAAATGGACAACCCTGCAAGATATAAAATACTGCATACTTGACCATCACTTACCCCAGTCACAGTGATCAAGGTATATTTTTAAGTTAAATTTTAAACAACTGAGTATATCAAAATATTAATTGTACCCGAAGAATAAAAATGATGAATGAGAAATAATTCTTTGGTATAATGACACAAGTGCGTGAGAAAATTAAAGAATATTCAAAGCAAAATATTTTCACAAACCTTAAAACAATTTTTTTTAAAATAAATAAATATATGTTCAATAACTACAAGAAAATGTATCACAATTTATAGAAATAAAACACAACCAGTATTTGCTTTCTTCTAACAAGTGAAGACAATAGATGTGTAAATAACAGCCATTAATTCATTTGAACATGTATGTGAAGACAGTATAATGTAAATAACAGATAACATCTAGTGTGATAAAAACACTAATATTTGCTGTAAATAATGCAAGTTTTCTCATGTTCGTAAAGTATAAAATAGATTATTTACTCTGCTTTACCAGGATAAATTTAAGTAGGTCATTCGCTATTGTAAGTTACTTTTACTTTTAAAAAAATGTTTTTATCTTGGTGAAGATCTGGTATGATTTGGAATGTCAACAGTGTATGTGACAGTGCCAACACAGCAAAATGGAATGTGATAAGATAACAAGTGATAACATGTTGAAGATGCCAGATAAATTGATAAAAATGTGGTTACATTTGTTGGTCAAAGAAATACATTGTGACATGGAATGTAATGTTTGGTGGATAAAAATACATCCTAAGTGATCAAAACCATTATATCAGCAGATTGTGCAACTTTTTAAATTGTCAGCTTCTTGACAGTAACATTCACTGCACTTGCTAATAACCAACTTTTACCTTCAAATTTTACAATTTTTATTTGTTGTACATTTATTTTTTTTTAAATTCCAGACAATTTTTGCATCTATGTAGTTGGAGAGATGTAATTTTGTTTTAGAATGCTAAATCCTTAACTTACAACACTAATTTGAACCATAATTTTCATACATTAACAACCATCTATAAACTTGCATAAACCTTCACCTTAATACAATACTTGCTTGAGACAGCAGTAACATCTTGAGTATATGCTTGTAATATCTACGGTATATCTACGTATAGTTCATTCCTACAATATAATGTTAGTTGTGTTGTGGTGCATCAGTGTCTATAAATAGATCAGCTGTCCTCATCTTGTAAGGACCAGGACACATCAGGTGTGAACTCTGCACTGTCCTCGTTGACCCCCATAGCAAACCTGCGGTCAATCAGTGCCTAACGGGGGACCCAAAATTAATATAATTATTTCATGTCATTTAACTTAATTATAATCAATTACTTACTTTCAACCAGTGACTATATATAAATTGGTAAAGAACTTCGTTATAGAACCAAATCCAGTAAATCTGTTAATAACAGCCATTAATTAATTTAAAATGTAACTTAAGACAAGGTAGCTGTATAAATATTATACAGGTCTGAATAAATAAAATACTTTTATTCAAAAAGCAGTTGTTATAACTTGGGAAAAGTTAAGGAAGACAACTACTCATGCTATTTCTGGACCATCGGTTGCTAATGGTAGATAATCCTAAACTTATCCTTCTTTTTTAAAACTAGATTCACATTATTAAAAAAGATAAACTCTTTTAAGGTAGTAAAAAAGAGCATGATATTCCAGAAATGTGGCCACAAACTATTCAACAGCTGAACGGAAGAAATATATAATGCTCTGGGTTATCTGTACACTATAAAATTAGTAAGAATGGTAGGAGTTGTCTTACCTTCTTCAAGATGTTAGCCACAGACGGCATCTGACCCTCCTCCCTGACCACACCCAACAATGGCGCCGGCTCCCTTGTCTGCACTGCTCTCAGTTTACCTTTCTGCATCAACAGAGCATTGGCCTCCAGAGACAGGCGCATGTTGTTCTGAGGACTCTCCTGTGGTTTCTGGACATCCGGAATAGTTTTCTGACCATTACTTTGTTGTGCTACACTTTTATAGTCTCCTACAGGCCTTTGAAGGTCAGGCTTGTGAAAGCTTGATGCGCCATTTACTCTGGGGGAATTAGTACACTGGTCAAGTTTTTGTCTCTCCATTAACGATGTCCTATATTGTCTGGGAGAATTATTTTGCATGTCCAACCGTTGGACATCGGAGTGATGGCTGCCATGTGTTGCATGGGTGTCCTGTTTTAGATTGTCCACTAAAGGACTGGCTTGTGATCTTGTTGGGGCTGATACGTGTGTGCCACCTGGCCGTGAATGACTGGGTGGCAACCTGGGGGTGTCTGGTCCTTGTCTGATGCCAGCTAGAGCATCCTGTTTCACCAACACAGGACTTGGCTCAACCCTCATGCAATTTAATTTTGTACTGTCAGCAGCTCTGGGCTGAATGAGGGAGGTGTTATTGTCCAGCTTCAGAGACTGTCTTGGGGAGGTATTATTGTTATAGTTCAGAGTCTGCTTTTGGGAGGTATAATTGTTAAAATTCACATGCTGCTTTTGGGCGGTATCATTGTCCATTTGTAACATTTGTGTATTGTCAAATTCCAGTGAATCCCTTGGAGTTGCGTCATCCTGACTTAGGTGAACATTCAACTCACTAAACTTTCTAGCAAACTCTAACCTGATCACAGCATCATTAGAAGACACAAAATTTACAGCAGTGCCTCCATTACCCAAGACCCCATCAAGTGAGTCTACTGTGTTCAGGCTAAACCTCCCCACTTCTGGCTCTCTAAGGTTTCCCATAGTGTCATCAGGGGGATGAAGGAAAAAGCTTTGGTAATTTGTGTTGCTGGTAGACCTGTTGCTTTTTAGTGGCTGTGTTGAACTGACAACACTGAAGTGGTTGTGCTTGTCAGATCTCTTGGGTTCAGGCATGGAAACCAGTTGGTTAAGTTTTTGTTGTTGTGATGACCTAACATCTGGTTGGTCAAGTTTTTGTTGTTGTGATGACCTGGTTACTGGCTGTTCAAGTTTTAGTTGTGATGACCTAACAGGTTGGTCAAGTTTTAGTGGTTGTGATGACCTGATATCTGGTTGGTCAAGTTTTTGTTGTTGTGATGACCTGACATCTGGTTGGTCAAGTTTTGGTTGTGATGACCTAAAATCTGATTGGTCAAGTTTTTGTTGTGATGAGCTGACAACCCTAAAGTGGTTAAACTTGTCAGATTTTCTGGCTTCAGATTTAGGTGAGGAAGTTCTGTGCCTAGTTCTCAATGCTTCACGTGTCACATCATCTGTTAATTTGACACTGCTGTTATATCTTTCATTTGTTTTGTTATTTGTTTCCACTTTTAATCCAACTTTTTCACAAACCAGGCTATCTAAAGAAATATCTGTACTTAGCTCAGAATATAAATCTCGAGCAAGAGGTCTGTATCTGACAGGCTTAGTATCTGAACACACAGTGTCAGTGAGTTGGCTGGTTTTGTTTTGTAAAAATGTTGGGTCAGAGTTTTTAAAGTTTTTGTCTATGTCAGCAGGGCTAGAAGTTGTGTGAGGTGTGGTAGACAGATCTTTATGTGTTGTTTCAGTGGGATCACGAGACATGGAGTCACTGAGACTGGATGGACTAGAAGGTGATTTAAATGGCAAGAAAGACAACTCTGTAGGTTTGTTAATTCCTAGTGGTGCCCCTTCGGCATTGGACACGTTTGTAGTGTATGTATCTTTGGGAGGGCTAATTTCTGACTTTTCTGTCATTGTACTTTCAGAAATATCAGGAACCCGACAACTGTTATTTTCAGAAAATAAAGGATTTTTTATCCCTGGAGAACTATCAGACAAGCCTTTAGTTGGAGTGACTGTCCCTGATGGTGTGTCCAACACAATTTTACTAGAATTATCTACCCCTGAAAGTCTGTGTGACAAAGTTTTAGAAGGATTATCTGCCTCTGGGGATCTGTCTGATAAAATTTTAGCTGGATCGCCACCCCTAAGGGATTTGTCAATTAGGTTTTTACCATCTCCAGAATTGTCAACCAATCTCTGTCTTCTATGTCCCATTTCATCAGCTTGTAAGTTCCCTTTGATTATTTTTCTCTTAGGTTGAATGTCCTTGTAGAAAGATGGCACATAAGACTGACTTTCAGACTGGAGAGTTCCAGTCTTGTTGTGCTGATCAGAGTTAGGTTTCCTGGTGAAATTCACTGATGCAGTGATAGGTAGCTTAGCTGGCAAGGTAGGGCTAACACTAGTGGTCAGGGGTTGTGAGGTTGTGACTGATGACAGTGGTAGTGGGTGGGGCTTGTCTAATGAATGCCGGAGAGGAAGCAGTTTCTCATGATTTAAATGACTAGGTTTTTTCTGATCAAATGACTTGCTGGGGGTTGAGTGGGGGCGTGACAAGGGGAGGTACCTCTTCATGATATCTTGTAATGATTCAGAGTTATCCTGTAGTGATTGAGAGTTATCCTGTAGCAATTTATCCACCTGCTGATTTACATTGGCTGCAGGCTCTGATTTTTTAGCAATATTTGGTTTATAGTCTTCAGCTTTCTCATTGTGTGCCATCACATTTATTGTACCAGGGGATGTAACTCCTGGGAGTAAATCACAGTCACTGCTACTGCTCTCCCTTACTTCACTTCCTTCTGATGAAAATGAAAGCACTTCCATCCTAGCTGAGTCTGGAACTTCCTGTTCCAGTACTGGAGTGGGGCTACAGACTTGAGCAAGTTTTTGTAACATTTTACTAGACACCTGCTGCTCAACTTCTTGGGCTGCTGCTACAACTATTTGTGCTGACTCAGCAATCTGGCACCAACTCTTGGAAACTTCCTGAAATAAAACATTAGTCCTAAGTATACAGTGATATATTTAGGCTTCATACTGAAGCTTCTCTCACTGTTATTATTCTGATATTTATAGAATTAGGTTGTTAGTAAACATAAAAATAAAAGTTAAAAATGACTATCCTTGGGTTTACTTTTTAGCCTTTAGATTCATTTTTTTTGGTCAGGTTTAGTAAATTACTAGTAATTACATAAAAATGTCATGACATTCTGTACCATATGGACAAAATGGTAAGTGACTTATTCAAGGGTAGGTTAAATTAATTACAGGGCTCATTCCTAGAGTGTGACTATTTGTGTGTCTCATCTATATTTATAGTAGATAGAAGTTATGTCATAAATAACAAGAACTATTAAGTTAGACACTGATTCACTGAATATATTTTCAAAATTATGTTGTTATATATTCACCATTTTTAATTTTAAAAAGATTGCATAGAAAAAATAAGCAGTATACTGTAACAATCAGTATACACTTTGAATAAAGTAGGACCAGGAACTGACAGTTTGGGTACCTTCAACAAGGGCCAGTAACTGAGAGTTAGAGTACCTTAAACTAGGGCCAGTAACTGATAGTTTACCTTGAAATTGGGTCTGGCAGCAGGGTTCTGGTCCCAGCACCTCTCTATCAGTCTGGTCAGTTCTGTTGGACAGTGGCCAGGAATCTCTGGCCTCTTCTTCATTCTCACTTGCTCCAAAACCTGACACAATCACAAATCAAATTTAAAGTAAACACTGCATCTATTTATAGCATAGGTAACAAAAAAAAACCTACCCGTGTTGATCTAATTAAGTTTTATTTTATTTTTCTTTGTTACATTTGTAGCACTCAACCTATAGAATTTAAATCTTTAAATCTGTGACAATAATTTAAAACGAGTAGAATTTTCTCACCTGATAGACTGAGCATCCATTATAAGGTGTCTGCCTGGTTAACATTTCCCATAAGACCATCCCATAGCTGTAAACATCAGCTTTAGCAGTGACCTCCCCTATAGTGATCAGTTCTGGGGCCATCCAAGCAGGTGCATGCTGGGGTTGCTTTGGCTTACCTGCCCTTGACATTTTAGCATCCGCCTCATGTCTAGAAAACGAGTAAGGCAAAATATTGAAGCATCCTGTCTAGGTCACTGTGCACACTCATATAACACCACCCACACCACACAGTGACAGCTTAAAGCTAGTAATAATAAAACATAAAACAGATATATAAACTAGATGCACAAGACACTGAAAACAAATGCCTTGAATGTTTAAGCCAGTTTGCAAAACAGCTGATTTCAGTTTCAGGCTTACTTTAGCTTAGAAAATCCAAAATCAGCCACTTTGGCAAGCAGATCCTGGCCAAGTAAAACATTGGGAGATTTCAAGTCCAAATGTAGAACAGGAGGGTTGTGTTGGTGGAGGTACAGCATACCAGAGCTGATATCCTGGCCAATTTTACAATACTCTTCATGCTTCAGAGATGGCCTAACACAATCATAGCACATGTTCATCAAAATTTCTATTTACTAACAGTTAGTGAAATGTTTTAAATTAATACAAAAAAAGAGTTTAATATCAACCTTTAATACATGCACTAAGGAAATAAAAAATTTTCTTTAAATATGTAGAAGTGGACCAACATTTAAATAGCTAAAAAGAAAGTGTCTTTAAATCTAGCCCTACCTGGTGTGGTCATGTAGTAGCGTGTGAAGGTTGCCACCTGACATGAACTCTAGGACAATGAGAGGAAGTCTGTCTGTGATGCAGACACCCAGCAGCCTGACAACATGGGGGTGTTCAAGTTCTTGCAGCATTGACACCTACAAACATTATTGGGTCATGTTAATCTGGTTTGTGATTTCATCACTGACACCAACAAACATTATTTGGTCAAAATAATTTATGTAATTTCTAAAACATAATGTACCTTGCTGCTATGAACATCATTTCTAAAATGGCTTTACAAATACAAAACATAAAATTTCTCACCTCAGCAGCAAAGTAGTTCCTATCAGCAGCCACAAGAGATGTCTTCAGCTGTTTCACTGCCACACCTGAGTCCTGGTATTTACCTTTATACACCTGAGAAAAGGTTCCGTCTCCAAGTAGATCTATAGATAGACACATAATGTGTTTTATTTTATAAGCAATGTTGCCTCTAAGGGGGAAAAGCTAGTGTGCAACTTGTATTTTCTGTGCGCGCTGTTCTAAATATCTTATACAAGAGTATATTCATTTTACAAAATTACTCGTGGCAGCTCAAAACTACGCACAGCTTAGAGGGAACACTGTTCATAAGTGTGAAAATAATTGCAGGTTTTAGTTTCAACACAAACTAAAAGATAAGACAAAAGTTTCTAACATAAATGAAAATAAAGCTTTAGACATACCTGAAATATTAAAATCAATGTCATGTCTATTGAGTTCCACTTTCTTCAGGTTTTCAATATGGTAGCCAACAGTCAGTAGGTCTAGTCTAGATCTATTTCAAAATAATTTCATGATAAAACCAACATGTAAACGTTTTAATCCTCAATCAGAAAAAAACAATTATGTTGTGTAATATATTCAAACATAATTAATTTTTGTTATATCATGAGGAAAAATAGATCTGAAACTTTAATTAATTAAAATGTTTAAACCTTTTTTCAAGTTTTTTATAAAAAAGTTTCATTTTTTCAAATTGTACAATATTTCAAATTAACTAAACCCGAGTCAAATGTACTGAAATCCTTTGTTTTACATATAATCAATATTGTTATATGCTATTTAAGAATACTGAGATATTTTTATTTCTCTTAACTATAATTATACTATAATTAACAATAATAAAATATACATTATGGAATTTTTTTATTCATCATTTTTTTAATACCTCCAGATTTTTAACATGACATTCGTTACCACTGCAAATGATCTATAAAAGTAATAAATAAAACATTTTCATACCTGTTAGTTGGTTTGGAAAATTTACTGTCATCAAAAGTATTTTGTTTCTTCTTTCTAACAAGGGCTGAAGATCCCACATTGTTATTCTTCAACTTTTCATCCTCAGTTACCTTATGCTTTCTTTCATCCATGTCCACAGCAAATAATTTCCTTATATCTGACTGGTCAGTAGCAGCACCAATAGCATTGTGTATCTCTAATTCTAAAGAGGGCTCTGACTTGTAAAATGGTGAAGTTAAGACCAAGCCTTCACCCTCCTCATCCCCCACCCAGCCCATCGCGGCTCTTTTCCGCCTCCTTTCTGCAGCATTTCTCCTCCTGGCAGAGTGAGCTGGACTGTGGTCATCCTCTGACTGCCTGGCTGGACTGTGGTCATCCTGTTCTGTGACCAGATCTCCACAGCTCTCTGGATGATCAGGGCTCTGGTCATCTTGTTGCTGGATGAGATGCAGCTCTAGCTGACTCAGCTGTTTCTGTAGCTCTCTCACAGTCCCTAAGGCAGCATCTTTGCTGTAAGTACCTTCCCTTCCTGCATCTCCATCCTTAAATACAGATTTTAACATGTTGTACACTGTGTGATGGCCCATAAATCACAATCTAATATGTAGTTATGGAATTAAAAGAATATATTTTGCTTATAATCTGATATTTTCTTGAAAATAAAATTATTTTATCGTAAGGACAAAAAGAATTTTCTATTATTAAAACAAAAGACCAGTGTATGAACTTAGATCACTAAGATGAAGATGGATTTACATCAGATGCAAAAATATCCAGTTTATCCAGGCTTTTATCCAGGTATCTTTCCTCTTGATGGTTGCAAGCTGGATCTACAGATAATATATAAACAAAAATGAATGAATCTGCAGCACTGATTTTTGTCATTCAATTATTTGTGATATAACATTACAAGAGAGTAGAAGTGAGAGACTTAAAATGTAGGGGGAGGGGTGTTACAGCAAGCTCAAAATTTAGAGAACAATATATGTAAACTAAGCTAAATATTTAAATCTTTTGAAGTCTTATTCAATAAATAAACATTAAATGCAATTATAAATAGCTTAAAATGTGTTTTTACTGTGTAGAAAGTGTGAAAAAGAAATCCTACTTTGTTTTGGTTTTAAACTCCTAGTTGACAAAAAGTCTTCCATGCCAGAGAGCTGATGCAGAAAAATAAATTAATATTTAATAAAGAAATTACCTTTCAGAGTTTTAATGATAATTACAAACACTGGCTAAAATTGCAAGAGCAAAAAAGTGACTAAAAAACTATTTTAAAAATGTAATCTAGTAAGGATGATAACAATAACAACTGTATTATTTAAATATCACAATATAAACAGAATTCTGAAGACAATTAGCTGAGAAGATGTACTCACATTGTTAGATTCAATCTTTGGTGATGAGAAAGATGAAGACCTCTCTAACCCAGATTTTTTGGGAACTGATGTTCTCTCCAGGCTAGAGCTTCTTCTGGTCACATGCTTGGCAGCCATGTTGTCTCTTATCTGCCCATGAAAAAAATATTAAAATTTTGTCTTAGAAATACTGAACTCATCCATTCCATAAAAAAATCTGTAATAAAACTTTTATATTTACATTTATAAATAGTTTCAATTTAGTTTTAATAATAAACCCTGCTTATATTTTGTTTAAAAAATCCTAATTCAAATCATTTATAAAAATGTTTTCCCTGTGATGTATCTAAGAACCAAAAGTTTTTTTGTGTGTATAAAATACACAAGGTCTGATTCTAACCTGTTTTCTTAGAGCCATGTTCTTCTCATCTGCCAGCTCTTTCTGACGCTGTTGTTGCTGCTTGATAGAAATTCTCTGGGCAGCAGATGCTACACCTGTTAAGATAATAGCCAGGTATAATAATCAATCACAGGTATAGGTGTACACATCTGTCATAGCTAAGACGTCTGTAAAATATCTATTACAGGTAGTATACTGACAGCAATGTAGTAACACATTTTCCCACATGTGGCTGACTTAATTTTGTAGTCTGAATCAAATTTATGTTGCTTAAGTAGAATAATCTCTGAAGAATAATTAGAATGCCTTCCCTATCTACTCCATGGCCAGATTAAAACCAAAAGAACTCACAAATACCTCTAACTACATTATGGATGGGTAAAAATAAGAATTCTATCTACAGGTAAAAATCAAAAGGAAATAACCATCTATATCTACACCATGAACAGGAAAATAAAACCATCATCACTATCTACACCATGAACAGGTAAATAAAACCATTATCACTATCTACACCACGAACAGGTAAATAAAACCATCATCACTATATACACCATGAACAGGTAAACAAAACTCACCATCATCACTAAGTTTTGTGGCAGCTGGGGGTTTGCCTGTCACTTTCAAACTTGAATTCTTTCCCTTGACTTTGTTAGATTTCTTAGCTTTCCCTTTTAATTCAACAACAGGTGTAATTTCATCAACACCATCAGAGAGGTTGTTTTTAATCTTCATGTTTGCCAGTTTGTTTTTGGTTTTCTGAGAAGGATCAGAGTCTGAGGGGAGAAAACTCTGGGTATTTTCTGCTTCATTTAAGGACTCCAAATGTAATTGTCCTTCTTGGTCATCTGGGCTTTTGGTTAAATGTAAAGATGCCAGATTTGCTATCAGACTTCTTTTCTCAGCCAAAAGTTCACTTCCTGTTTGTGGACTTTGTTTATCCTTGTTAACCAAAGGAACACTGTCTTGTAATTTCTCACTTTCATCAAGCTTTGGGTTCTCTCCACTTGGTGTAGATGGTGGGTTATCCTCTCGACACAAAATCTGAACACCTTTAATAATTTTCATGATGGGGCCAAGAGCATTGATGCCCATGGCTCTCAGGGAGTTGGCAGACAGGAGTCTAACACTAGCCATGTCCATCTGATGCTCAGCAAACAGAGCAATATAAGACTCCACAGACTGGAGACCCAGCTGATGGAGCCAGAACTCAACCTCAGCGTCACACTTCACAGGGGCTGGGCTTTGTAATGAGGTATCTGGAATAAAGAGATAAATATGTATATCTTCAGAGGGTTAGTAAGATTTTCTTTCAAAAACGTAAACAAATAAAACGATTATATACTGTGAATCAAAGGTAGAACTCAAGTTTTTGAGCTTAACTTCAAAATAACAGTAGTCCAACTTTCTCTGAATTGGAACCACACAAAAATTTGTTGATGTTTAAATAATATAATTTATTATAATGTAAATCTTTCTTAACAGAATTGCTTATGGACTTCCTGTAAAGGTTTAATAAAGAAATACATTCTAAAAAATTAACTTACCTTTCTGGAAAAAAGTTCTTCCCTGTGGGCTAAGAGAATTTTCTTTGTAAACACCACCACTATCTGTAAACAATGTTAGTATTTTGTTTACGTCCTGCACAGGTGAGAGCACACCTTGTGATGGCTGTGTGTAGATGTTGCCGTGCTCCCATGATGCAGCAGGCACCACAGGTGAGAAGTGGCTACCTGTGCTGTGGTGGAACAGGTTAAAATCTGAATAGCTATCTTGTCTTTTAGTGGGCACTGGGCTGGTATTAGATGACAAGGACAGGGGAGGAGAGTGGATGACATCAGGTGAGAGGCAGCTGGCGGAGTCTGGTCTCCTCATGGATGACCGGCTGTTACTTCTGCTGCTGGGTGTGGAGTGCATCTTGGTAAAACTGTCATCCCCATCTACAGTCTGGTGCCTCCAGGTTTTTGATTCAAGGTACGACACACCTTGGCTGGTCACTGCCCACTTGTTTGACAGAGGGTCATTATCGACACCTGTGGTATGTCTTCTAGGCTTTGAATCAGAGTGCGGTTTGGTTTTCTTCAATGCACCGTCACTGTTTTGTCTCTCCAGGCTCAGTGCGTAGCCTGGTATTAATGGGGACATGAAGTTAGGAGTCTGGTTTTTATTGTAGGATTCATTTTGTTGCTTTTCTGCATTAACTTTGGTTGGAGTGCTGACTAACTTTTCTACATTAATTTTGATTGGTGCTCTCTTTGACTTTTCTGCATTGGCTTTGGTTGGTATGGAGTGCAACTGTGAAGCCTCTAGTCTAGAAAAATTAGTATTGGTTCTTTTACTGTGAGTATTTTCTGGGGAAGTTGGAGCATAAGTTTGAGACTCTTCAGTTTGGCCTGTCTTTTTCCTAGTTGTCTGGCCACTTTTTGATGAAAGGTCACCACTTTTTAATTGTTCCTGGCCACTTTTTGATCTAGCCTGACCACTTTTTGATTTTGTTTGATCCCTGTTTGATGTCACCTTTTCAGTGACTTCACTAAAATCTTTATTTCTCCTCAACTTTGTAAACTCTTGGTTGTTATTCAAAGCATTCTCATTTCTTCCAGCAGTATCCTGAACGTTATAACTTCTCCCATGACGAAGGCCAGGATCTACAGTATCCTTCACCTTCCTAACCTCATCGTCTTGTTTTGACCTTCTCCCTTTAGACTTGGCATCACCAGACCCCTGGTGTTCCACATATTCCAGTACAGGCCTGACACTTTGAATCTCAAGCTTTGTTGGGGATTCACTCCTTCTTTGAGTTTTCTTTGGTTCTGCTTGTCTTTCTGATGATTTGCCTCTGTTTCTTGCCTATAAATAAAAAATATACCTATTTTACTCATAGCTGAATTCTATAAGAGCTACTAAGAAGAAATATTATTAATGAAAAAATGTGCTGTGAAAATAACATTAATATATGACAATATTTAACTCAATGCTAAAATTAGTTGATAAAGTTTTTAAAAATTATGAAACAAATAATTTTATAAATCAATTCAATGTATCTAATAAAAAAACTCTGAAGAGCCTTATATAGAACTAATAAACTATCTTGTGGTAAACAATCAGCAATAACAGACCTTTCTGTGATGGTTGGTCTCTGCTTTAGAGCTCTGAATGTGTTGATTGTCTCCCACAGCTGACACTTGATTCCTCTTGTCTGCACTCTCCACATCTTTTCTAGATCTGTCTGTTGTTACCAGGTCTCTGTTAGACTTATAAGTTGTGAGTTTACCCTCACCACCATGCTCCCACCTGGAGCCTCCAATTTCTTTTCTAAAACATGGAATAATTTCCAAACACAATATGAGAAAACAAACTACGTTGAAACTATTTTTTAAATTATGATACAATGAGTTAAAACCTGGATATATAGTGCCAAGGTATGCATAAGTACATAAACTTATTTAATGGAGATATATAACAAGGACATTTGGTGCACAATACATGTTGAATGCAGTTGTTTATAGCATATGCACTAGATAACTACACACACACATCAACTACAAACTATTGCTGGGAAGAGATAATTACAACACCAGTTCCATGGAAAAAGTTTCAAGCCTAGAACACGAAAACAGAAATGTTCTAGTCTAATTGTAAATATGGTAAATTATGTAAAACTAAGACATACCTTATCATGCCCCTCACACTTTTTTCACTTTCAGCTTGATATCTATGATGAAGAATTAAAGCATTTTCCATGTCCTCAATTTCTTGTCGTAGTTTTTCACTCTCTAAATCTGCAGCCCTGTTTAAAGACGATAAGTTGAAAAATAATTGTAGGCCTAATCTGTCATAAAAAGCAAATTTCTTCTTCTTCTTCTTAATTTTAGTGTTGGAAGGGATCCCCTTCCAACACAATTAAGGATACGTATCAACTGGTTATGCACCATTGAGGGCATTGACTCTGATTTCATCCTGCTTTTCTTTTTGGATTTGCTTCCATAGCCTTTGTCCAACCAAGGACAAACTACAAGGCAGCAGTTGTTTGAAGAGTGGCTGTCCCCAGCTAATGAGCCTCATCTGCCCGAGGGTTTGAACACAAGACTTTTCGGATTAGCAACCATGAGCTTTACCGCCTCGACCACGCTGACCCCATAAAAAGCAAATAATATTAAGATAAGAAAAAAAAATTCTTTTTAAGTTAAATGTTAGTGTTGTTTTTTTTATCTGACTCACCTTTTAACATGATGACGTTTTTTATGAGTAGACATTTTGAAAAGTCACAGCCTAACCAACTGGATACAAACTGAAGTTTCTGACCGAAAATAAAAAGAGGAAATTATTAGAGTACACTTTAATTTAAAGTTAAAGGGCCTCAATGTCATCAGGCCTAGAAATCTAGATCTATAAAATTTAATAGCCTTAGAGTCTTAGTATTCACTCTTCACTCCAACTTACATTTTTAGGCCTAATTCGCTGTGCTGTTGTGTTGTAAAAAAAAAAGTTGTTTTGTTTATTGCAGTTTTGACTGTTTTTGTGGAATAGCTCGACCTAAGACGTAAATCCGTAGTACATCAATATTAAACGAAATTTAAGATATGCTGTAAATCGTTGGTTCATTTTGTGAATAGGATAGTAGATTCATAATCATGATAAACTAGTTAAAACAACTATGGTGGTATGTTAAGCTCGTATCATTAATCACTGTCTAACGTTTTGTTTTTCTCAAGAATGTTCATGTCTGCAATTTCAACTCTTCATCGCGTGAAAATAACTTTGTAGGTTGTTAAAGAATACAATCAATAAGGTCATGTTATATTACCAAATCATTATGGTTCACATTGGATCTGGATTATTTTTCAATGTTGCTATAAAAACTGTTATATTCACTTAATCTTTTAAAAGCTAACACAAAAGAAAACGTTATAATTAATATATATCTTGATTCCACTCAATAGGTCACGAGGCTTAATTTTGAGTGTTTCTCACAGTCATCTCAGATCTCTCCATGGCAGTGCCCCAACCCCATTTGCCCCCCCCCCCCCCCAACCCACACCCCAACAAAACAGAAAAAGCGTATTATAATTGTAGGTCTACATGTAGAATACACAATTGTCTACAACCTTAATTGTTAGCCTAGTCTTTAGTCTATTTTGTTGTTTATAAGACTGCAAACACTGCACACATGTAGTCCTCCATACATGCATATATAACCCCACATGCATATGTTCATAAATATAGGCCCTAAACGCTACATGTGTGTATAGAAAAATATATACCTATATGTTTAACTACTTGTAAATGCAGTCATCTTAATGATATGCCTTCTGTATATTGCATCAGTCATGATCCTGCAATTTGTTCCAGTTATGAAAATACAATTTGTTCCAGTCATGATACTGCAGTATGTACTATAGCTGTAAAAGGTACCTGGTGTTTATAGGTTGGGCCACCAAGAAACTAAAACTAAATAAAGGATCATAGACCTTTGTTGAAAGCTAATCTAGAAATCAGAAAATTGAAACAAATCTTCAAGTAAACTTCATTTTTGAAAAAAAATAGAATTTTGTCTTTTGTTTTTAATGTGACTAAAATCTTTTGTAAATATTTTTACTTGTTGCCAATATTATTAGTGCGATACATTCTTTTGATTTTAGATTTCTTATTGTATAAAAAGTTTTTTTTTTTCTCAGAGCCAAACTGGGCTATTCACAATGTGATAAAATTATCAAGTGAGGCTTTTTTTTTTTAACTGGTTAAACAAATCCTCACAGTTCTCCATGGACCCTAGTTGTAATCTCTGAATAATGAGGAGAAAATTCCAATATTTAAATTTGTAATAGCCCTATTTAGTTGATATAACTTTACTAAATACATTTGTTTGGGGTAAATGAATAAATAAATAAAGTAAACCTTTGCTGAAAACTGGTTCTCAGGTAGGCCTACTGAGGCCTAAGGTATTGTTTGACCAGTTCATGGGCGATTTAAAAGAAATTGTTTTAGGGTTCACAGTACAGTGAAATTATTCATGTTGCATCATCTAGGAAAGTATCATTTTGAACCTGACACTTCAGAAACAGGTGAAGTAGAGTTCACCAGTTTCAGTGACTTCGGCATAGGAAGGGGAAGTGTATTCAGCACTATGCTCAGCCACCTTTATTTTTGCTAATGTGAGTCTGGTACATTTTACTAACACAACCTGGGATTAGAAGTATAGAATTTTGGCTTAGCAGTTAAATGGTCTGCCTTTCAACCTATTTGACTACATGACACCAGCAATCCTATAGGTATTTAGTTGTTTTTTTTTTAATTATTTCCTTCATTCTTCTTTGTATACCATTTTAACCTTTTATTTGGATCATGTCATAAATAAAAAAAAATAAAAAAAAACTTTGTCAGATAAATTTAAAAGAAAGTAAAAGGACTCAGGTAGATTTAGAAAAAACTCTGTGTATTAAATATATGGGTCACATTTTAACAATGATGGCAAGAAACTACAGCAATAACAAGAGGTTGCTTCAATATCATTCATGTTCAGTTATGTCCCCTACTTAAGGTATGCAATTTTGTAGGAAGTAATATATATAATAATACAGTGCTCAAAACAAAAAATTTAAAAACTTATATAGATACAACTGTTTTATGTAACAATTTTGACATGAACTATAGTCTAATTAACAGCAGCATTTTAAAATTAAAAGTGTATACTTACATACCATACAAGTTTAAAGGAGGCAAAGGGAAATACATTGATGTTACATTCTTATGTAATTTATGGTCTCTTAATACCTTTAAAAGGTTATGCTTCTTGATTTAATTCAATATCTATTAACTTTAATTTAATTCTATAATTCCTGTAAGTTTATCGGTTATTTTTTCAGGTAAAAAGTTTAACCTTAATTTGTTTCTTTAGCAAATAGTGCAGAATTTCTTATCCCAATAAAGGATATTGCTATTAGTAAAATACTTCACTTATTATGTGGCTAGCCTTCACTAAATCAAAAACAAATTTTTCTATGAGATAGATGGCCTTACAAAAGTGAAAACTAACTGAATAACTGATACTATATCAATTGACTATGCTCAATGACTTGGTATACTAACAGCATTAGCTGGTACTGAACAAAACTGATCACTTACACTTAGTCAAATCACAGATATCAAATCACATTAATTGAAACACATAATCTCCTGTTTATAACTTTGAAGAGCTTCTAATTAAAACAGAATGCATTAACAGAGGGTGGGGTTAAGGAGGGCCAACAAGCATTCTTACACGGGGGCTTACACTAGCGAGAAACTATTTCATTATTACAGCAAGATAATGCATTCTTAAGACTCATATATTCAAAAAACTTCTATAGAACTTATGTAATTTTAAAGTTTTATATATAACTTATGTACTTCAAAAATGTATGTATAGCTTGTGTATTCATAAGAATTCTAAAGGTATAAAGAAATTTGTAGAAAATGATGGGAAAAACCCTAAAAATTCTCCAGTTGAAATTTGACTCTGAACTGTGTAGATTACAATTTTAAGGATAAATGTTTTTAGGATCCATTTATTTGTGATATTGTTTGAAAACTATTAAATAGGTACACAATATATGAAAATGCTACAAATTTTATGCCCAGATTTGAGTTATTTTCTAAATTTTAAAACCAAACTATTTCCAAAATTTTAAATAAGAATGATTTTTTAGCTACATAAAGCACTGAGAATGCATCTGCTAGTCAGAATTATCACTCTACCCAGCATTAATAAGTACCTAGCATAAGTCTGTCGCCGTAATGAACTCAAATAAGTATCTCGCATGAGCAAGGTGACAAATGGGCCTCATTTAGCTACTAAAATATCTACAATACAGCTACACCTGCCTTAGGGATTATATTGTTTTACACTAAAAAATGTACTGTATGTATACATATTTACAGCAGTGCATGAAATAAAACACATGGAATCTTTAGCAGGAAATATTTATTATATCACACATCAAATCTTTATCTAACTCTTCTTTCAGAAGCCATATGAAAAAAAGTAGAAAGTAAATACTAAGTTAAGCCTAACTACAAAAATATCATTCCTTAATTTTGTGAAAATATTAAACATGATTAAAAGTATATTTTCTCTTTAAAATAACACAACTTATAAGCTAGGTACACATTTTGTTTAGTTATCAAACTAACCTTATACTTGCATTTTTTTACAGCTCAAGTATCAAAAAATTTATTTAGAATAAAAAAACAGATGCTGTTAAGCTATAGAAAACCTAGAAAATCGACCAAGAACAGATAACTCTTATTGTCAATGCTGTCATTGAAATGTGGACATATTCCCATCTGTGTGTTATTGATTGTAACAATTTTTTTAATCTGCAACAGTAGGTAGAATGGAAGTAATCATGTGTATTGCTTCTGTGTAAAAAATATTGTATTTAAAAAACATTAACTCACAGTAGTTACAGTAAATAAAAAGGAGCAAAAAGGTTAAATGTTATTTACTAAGTCAAAATAGTATTTTCTTTAACAAACCTTTATAAGTTACATTTGGGCAATTAATTGACAACAAAAACGTTTTTCTAAACATATATTCACAATTAATTACAAAATGAAACCTTATAAAATAATTAAATTTCATTGATTAAATTCAAACCATTTATATATTATTTAAAGTAAACTTTAAAATCTTAAAGAAAAATCACCTATATAGGATATAAATAGGAAGATCAGTAAAAAAAATGTATTGCCTTGTAAAAAAAAACACACCTATCTACGTTCAGTTTGTAAGCCTATCAGCAGCATTTTCAACACACACAAAAAAAAACTGATCAAATACAACAGCAGTGGTAATGGACTGATGGCTGAAGCTAGTTACAGGCATCTATTATTTAAACTTGACACAACAGGTGGTGTTAAATGAACCATGGCATTGGCCCATGTAGTCATTTACCAATTCTAACACTCAGTTTGACACTTTCATTGATCGCATCTACTCAAATTACACATTATTGTTTATGGTGAGCTAGAAATAACACTACTTATACTTATAGCCTTTTAAAAATTGCCTTTCATTTTTTTTTTCATACATACAGATTTAACAAAATAGTATTAAAAATACTTCTTCATTTTGACATTTTACAACTCATGCTGACTGTTATGAAAAAAAACATGATTAGCCTACAAATCAAATGTTTGTAGTCTTATTCCCGCCAATAAAACAGTCGCATGTTAAGGGCAGACTCTTTTAGAAATCATAGGAAATTAAAAATTCCATTTATGTAAAAAAGTAGTTAAAGAATAGCAAGCTTGCAGGCTTTAGCAAAATACCCAAATCATATTAAAAACAGTCGAAGTCACTCCAAAGCTAGAACAAGTTACTTTATTATATCTACAAACATAGGTAACTAGCAATCAAACAATTAGCTGCTTTGGTTGCTAAATAAAGGAGACAGTTGTGTTCATTATATGCTGTTAGATAAAATTTCATTCGCAATGATCTTTCAGTGATGTGACAAATGGTTGAGGATAGAATGATAATCTCATTTTGGTGTTTGGGTTAAAACAAATCAACATCAAGCATCAAACTTGGAGAGGCACATAACTGTAATGAGTTTGATTGACAGCTCAACTACTATCTGACCTAATTACCAACAAGATGGGAATATCTTTTTATATCTTTTACTCAGAATAATATTTTAAAAAATCACATTCATTACCTGTACATTGAATTATAACGCCTTAATTTGTTAAAATAAACTTTGTAATTGAAAAATAAAATATGCTGATAGTTATCCCCCTTTAGCAAAATTTCTGCTAAGTACAGAGAAAAAAAAGAAAAAGGCATCACAATTTGTTTCATTATATCACACAAAACTCTTTTAGCTTAAAAAATGTTCAGCTACATAGTATTGTTGAAAAAAATAAATAGGTTATGTTATAGGAATAATAAAATCTTAAAATTTTTTCAAAATATAATTTTATAGTAGGCCTAATAGTCTTTATGTTATTTTATTAACATATAAACATTTATTTTTCATCATTTTTAAGTCTGCTGCTAGTCTCCTAAAAAACAACAAGTACTTAACACCAAAAAAAACTTAAATGCAAAATCCTTCACCATTTAGACATGTTAATGACAAAATATTTGCAATGATAGAGACTGAACAGTAATAGTACATGAAGTTATTTGGCTTCAAAATTAGTGTAGGTTTTTTTATTTAAACATCAGAAAGACTGTTTAGGGGGGGTTGACAACAACGCATCAGCAAATATTGAAGTATAGAACTGGGAACACAAAATATACAGCATAAAACTCAGCATATTGAACATGAATAAAGCTTTTTTACATGCTCTTCACAAAACACAACAAAATTTAGCATGAGATTTCAGAAGAATCTGAACATTTGGCAACTTCATTTCAAATGAAAGGATATTAGTATAACACTGGTATGTTAATGATCAAAGTATCATACATGGGGCTTAGTTTCCCCGAGGTCACTAATCTGAATAATAGGTAACAAGTTATTATTTATAGAACAATACATGATGATACTGAGAATACAGGCATAAAATTGCCATGTTGAAGTTGTTGAAGTGATAAACAGGTTATCAGTACAAAGTAGCAAACATGTTTCAACAAAATTGTGCAGTCCTGTATTGCTTTCACTTGGGGCAAATCTCTAGTTGACAAAGCCTGAGCGTGTTTTAGTTTTGTTTTTATTTTAAATTATAAAATAAATATTTTAAAAAAAAAAGTTTTTCAATAAAAACTGGAATTTTCACAGCCAGGTAATGTTTAACAACCACATAATGGTTTTGTTTTTTTTTCTTCTGTGTAAAAAATGTTTTTGTTTTTTAAAAATCTCTTCAGCTATATCGTTGTATCACATTAGCTTATTGCCAATCTAGGTCGACTTGAGTGAGTCAGTCTCACAAGGTCTCTGTTAAACAGAGAGACTCTCTTGGGGAAGCTCATGGACAGCAGGTCCCACTTGAGGAAAAAACACAGCACTGCCAAGGTGACTGTGCAGGAAAGAGTTAGCCCTTCTTCTCAATGTAGTAGCTTCAATGTCTTTTCATGTGTAGAGAGAGGTGATCTGATCGGGAAAAGGCACGTTCACAAACTTGGCACTTGAATGGTTTGTCTCCTGTGTGTTTGCGAAAGTGGCGGGTTAATTCATCAGAACGAGCAAAACGCCAGGTACACCCGTCCCAATTACAAATGTAAGGTTTTTCACCTGAAAAATTGCAAAAAACAAAATAAGTAATTAAAACTTTAAAATCAAGAATTTAAAAAAAAATTAATTAAAATTTTCTTTGATAATAGTTTCTTGTGATTTGAAACACACAAAAATTTAAAACATTTTATGAAAAATTTCATATTTCATCATAAAATTATCAGCAATAGGCTACTCCACTTGTTTTTCCAATTTTTTTTATTTTTTAATTGTTTAACTCAATAGCTATTCAAACATTAAAAGATCAGTCTGCTCTTGGGTTAACAAGGGATGATTTAGATTAGATGATCTATTAATTAAGCCTCAGTTCTAAAAAGGGTTAAGGGACTTAGATTAGATGCTCTGTTAATTAAGCCTCACCTGTATGTGTTCGCCGGTGGGCTTTCAGATGTGAGCTTTTGGTATAGACCTTATTGCACCCTTCAAAGTCACAGCGGTGGACTCGTCGAGATTTCTGACTGTCGATGTCGTCATACATTTCTTCTATTTTTGCTTGGGACCGAGGGGTTTGGTACATCAGTTTTTTACTCTGTGTTTCTATAAGGCTCATAACACTTGAGTGAGACTTGAATTGTCTGAAAATTTTAAAAAGTATTTCTTTAAAATAAATGCACTTTTTTAAAGTCATTTTAGAAACTCAAATGAGCAAATCAGTCGTACATATTTTAGTCTGAGTTTACAGAAGCAAGGGGATTGTATAAAAAGTTAAGTTGAAAAGTACCCATCTAATATCCTATATATATTAAAATATACGAGCCGGCCCGCGGCATAACATACGCCGCTATTTAGTTGTTTCTAATTTTCAGTAATTCATAATTTGTGAATTCGACAGTACCAACGCTGACACTGAAAATATTTCTTTAAAACACTATAAGTAGCTCGTTAAGGACCATAACCCCCCCTTCCTCCCCCCCCTACGTTTAAAATCGTTGGCTCTGCTTGTAAACATTTAGAGTGAACACAGCTTACTAAAACCATGTAGGGGTGGGGAGGTAGGGAGCGCGTTTACAGCTTGTTTTCTAGGCGCATTTGCAGCTTGTTTTCTAGCGGCTCCCAGAAGAGAATTATATATATAGATTATAAACTTAAAAGGGGAACTTACTCTGATGCTTCTTTAATTCTCTGGAGAGACAAAAGGGCAGCTGATCCAATCTTATTGACACCTTCTGATGGTGAATCTTCTGGCTCTGTTAATAGATAAAAGAACACCTAATGTTAATATAGTCACACTAACATCAAAGTTACACAAAAAGTGACTTGAACAATATTAAAGTTAATATTACACCTAACTTACTAACTAATGAACACAAGTATATTTTTTTACTCCCTAAACCTGAGTGACCATGATGATGAAATGGGCAGGTATGAAGCAAGGACTTACCACGTTTAGGAACTCTAAGATCCAGGCCTTGGTGGGTATCTGAGTCTGATCTACGTGCTCGCTTGACTAAAGAAAGATCAACCGGCTCGTTCTGGTCCTGCAAGATAAACCAAACCAATTAAAAAATTAATTAACTTCAATTCTTGGAGATAATATATTTTTAAAAAGCTCTTGACATGACTGAACTGGAACACTTTGGTTCCACTAGAACCAATGGTTAATGTTAATGTTTTGAGTACATGTATAAGCAGATAAATCTAATGGGATTTCTTTGTAGAGCAACAAGAACATATTTTAAAATACACTGGGTGTTTCTTAAAGAAAATAACTTTTACTTTATAAATTGTTATATAGAAAAAGTTGAATGAGCTCAATAAAGTGATAAGAGTTTTTAGTATATAAGTTAAAATAACTAAATTAAAATTAAAAAGAATAACAAAGAAATGAAAGAAAAGAAACTCACTTTATCATCAGAATGGTGAGACAAGGCAGGAGAATATGAGGGTGAAATATAAGCAGACTGGTCAAACTCAGTTTTGATAGTGACTTTCTGGCTCAGGTCTGGGATATTCAAGGCATTCCACGGTTCTCTGGTGATCATGCTGGGCTCGTGCATGAGTTTCAAACGCTTCTGTAAAGCGTACTTATTATCTGTGGTGGTGCTGTCCGAGCTGTCGTTGAATGCTACCGGACTGTTCTTCTGTTCTATCAAATACGAAGAGGTTGACGAGGCTTGAGGGGAGAGAGACAAAGGGGGAGAGGGGGAGGATAACGGAGACGGTGACTGTTTTTTAGTACTCATATCCATATGTACTGATGAACAATGCTGAGGGCTGTGGGCCCCTGCGTCGTTGTGACAGCACTTGGTACTCTCTACACTATGGGATTTTGTTCTGCTGGTTTCTTTTTTCTGTACATACGAGCTCTGCTGGCTTCTTTGTTTAGCAGGGTCCACATCTGGACTAGCCCGGGCTGACCCGCGCTTGCCTGAATAATAACAGTCTGGGGTTTTGTTGGGCCTGCTTTTGGAAGCGGCCAGAAAAGTCCTGGCTTTGGATGAAGATAACACGATGCTACTGGAATCTCGGGTTATACTGTTGTGTTCGCTGTCGCTGTCCGCCCCGTCACCATCGCTGCCACTGTGGTGGCGCTTGTGTCCGTGAGCAAAGTGAGTCCGGGTGGTGAACTGGGGGGACAGGGGGGACAAGGTGGACACTGAATGTGCTGGGACACCCTCCGGTGATGGGCTAGGTGTTACAAATGCTGACGATGAATCTTGAGTCATTCTCTCTTCTAACTGCTGTTGAGGAAAGAGAAAGGAAATCAGCCAAGTTAATAAAGTTAAATTTTATGAAGTATACAAAGACATAATATTTTTACAAGAATTTAATCTTTACACAAAATAATAGCTGGGAACTGTGTTCAGCTTTGGCAGTAAACCATTAAAAAACAAAAAATGGAGGCTGTTAATGTAATTTACTCCATTCTGTAAATATATTAAAATCTATAACTCTCTACTTAAGAACAATGAATGAAAATGATGAGTAATGATGGTATACTTTTAACAATGTTAGCATACACATTACAAATATAGTCATTAGCAGGATGAAAGCTGACTAATATTTGTTAGTTATTGAGTCAGTAAAATATTTCATTACATGTCTCATATGGCAAGTTCTGCACCACTGGTTTTGAGTTTCAGACACAATGACACCCCCCTCCCCCACCTCATTTAAGTTGACTAAGTTGCACCTAAAAAACTCCCCTGGACATGTAACTGATCTGCCACTCCCATCTGAAGGTAAGATACCTGCATCTACCTGGATCCATCACCTTATCAACTAGCCGTGTAAACCTATCTCAGAGATTTGTCAGGTGACAGGCAGGGGAGGGGGTAGTGGGGGAGAAAGGAGTGACTTTCAAACAAAAATAAAGAGGTTGAGGGAAGTGTTATAAATCCTTGAAGGGACAGGATCCCTGAGTCACCCTGTAAAGGAAGTGGATGACACAAGGGGGGGGGGGGGGGGGGGTCAAAGGTTAAGGGGGGGGGGGGGGGGGGGGGGGCTTTGGTTTGTAGGACAAACATCACATTACATTACTCAGTAACACAGCTACATTACACACAGTGGTTTTCTACAAGTAGAAACATGAATGTGTTAGGAGAGTTAGAGTAGAGTAAACTTGTTCGATGATCTTGACCTACAAACATTCTCTGACTGCTGTAAACAACATGTTTAAGTGGACACATAGCCCCAATGTAATTTTTAACCTGGGATTTAGCTCTGATTTTCTGTGACACATGAGTTTCTCACATCATACTCTTTCTACCCCACAGTCAGAAATAAAACTTCATTAGGGGGGGGGGGGGGGCAGCGGAGGGGGCAGGAGAGAGGGCAAAACAATAGTTTATTCTCTGTTGTCATTCAAGTGTTATGTGTTATCCAGATATTGTATGAAAGGTTATAGTACTAGATACAGACAAAAACTATAGGACTAAACTACAGAAATAAGACTAAAAACAGTAAAATGCAATGTTAGTAGCCACTACAACTTGCCAGTTTTTTTACTTCCAAAAAACCAAAATAAATACAACCAAAAAAAAAACTATGCGACAATAAAAGATAATAAAGAATGTTAATAGCATTATAGAAGACTACAAACAGGCGTTAAATGAGAAGCAGGGTACAAGCACGCGGAAAGTGCAAGGACATCCTTGTGCACGACAGTCTAGCTAAACTACAGCCACAGGCAGTGTGAAGGGGGGTGTGTGGCTGACTTACCGCCATGAAGACAAACTGAAGCGCCCCCTCGCGGGACAGATCCTGACACCAGACACCCCTGTACCCAGATGGGACCTGCCAACAAGGGTTCGGACTGTGTTCCAGCATCGGTTAGCGTTAACAAACCAAGACGGTTAAAACCTCCTGGTTTTGGGTTTGAGCTATTTCAAACAAACTATTAGCTGATGCCGTCACAATGAGGGTGGTGACAATTTGATAAGTCACAACAAAATGGAACCGATGTTATCCGATTTATTTATATCCAAATATTCTTCTTTAGTAGTCTCTCTATTAAAAAAATACAAAAAAAAGTGTCCATGTAACCACAGTATAATCTACTAACAGAACAAATCTTATTATTAACACACTAATTAACTGGGTTTTTTTTTTATTCAAGCATCTTGCAACTTGCTGAATATGCACCGTGTAAGCCCATGTTTACATAAAGATAATATCACAGGGAAGAATGAAGCTAGCACTCAGAAACTGTATACTAAACACAAACTGCCTGAGGTTATGTTGCTAGCCTATATACACATCACACTGGGAAGAATTGAAGAATGTGTTAATAAGCAATTTACGCAGTGTCTGGTTCTCACTGTATTTCTGACATTAACAGTTTGTCTGTACAGTTGTACATTGTCAATAAATTATAGCATCACAACCGCAAAAGATGCGTAAATAAGCAATTTTTGTAAGTTATCTCCCATCATGATACATATTGCAGTTTCATACACCGATGAATGTCTATATAAACGACATGTTATCTCCCTTTAGGTCCCTAGTCAAAATTTTATGTCTCCAGACAAGACAGTCACCCCTTCCCCACCCCCCCCCCCCACCCACATCATGTCCTCACATTCACCCCTTCCCACTTTCCTGGCATGACATTCCTCCCCTCCCACCCCCTATGTTAGTCAGCCCCCACCTCCCGGCCTGACATTCACCCCTTCCCCCCCCCTCCCCCTTCCTGGCATGACATTCCTCCCCTCACACACCCCCTATGTTAGTCACCCCCTCACCTCCCGTGCTGACAATTGCCCCCCCCCCCCCCCACCTCCCGTGCTGACAATTACTCCCCCCCCCCTTCCTGGCATGACATTCCTCCCCTCCCACATCCCCATGATAGTCACCCCCTCACCTCCCGGCCTGACATTCACCCCCCCCCCCCCGACAGTTCCGATGACGTTAAGCTCATCACGACCCTGCCCTATTGAACGTGTGGTGAGGTATCGATCTCCCAGCGCCGTGGGCGTGCGGCAAGGTGAACAGCCTATAGACCCCCCCCCCCCCCCCCGCTCCCTGCTCAGTGTATGGTAGGGGGTGGTGGTGAGTGTGGGCGTAGTCGTGGGACAAGGTGAACAGCCTATAGAAACCCCCCCCCCCCCCCACCCGCTTAGTGTAATGGTAGGGGGTGGTGGTGGTGAGTGTGGGCGATCTCTCGTAGTCGTGGGACTAGGTGAACAGCCTACGGTTGTGGTTGGGGGGGGGGGGGTGGTGTTGTTAGTTGTGGACGCTCTCCCTGCACCGCGGTCGTGCAGTTGGGTAAAATAACATACAAACTTTACACAACGATCTACGTATCAAACCGCTCACATACCCCCGGGGGGCTGATGTAAAGGGGGGGGGGGGTGAAATCAATTGGACAGTTTATCTAATGATTTATTGAACACACCGTGGTGCTATGTGCATGTCCTAACGAACACATAACCTTTTCATGCCAGACTTCGTGTTTCCAGAAAAAAAAAAATTGACAGCTGATTTTTTGTTCCACCTTGAGAAATATAATCGTTACAGGAGCTAGACAGTAGTAAGGACCGAACAGAAGGCGGTTAAAACAGTGATAGATAAAACCCCGCTGGTAGATATCACGTGACGACCCCAACAGGCGGTGGAAACGTAAACAGACGGACACACTTAAGCAGCTGAGATAGACGACACCTTGCATGACAGGCCAATCCTCCCCCCAGCGGCCCCAGGTCAAGTGTTGGTGACGCTTGGGGTCGACACTTGGTCATGTGACGTTATCGTCCGCACTCGTTTGTCACGTGACTGACAACCAACACCCCCCCCCCCCCCGGTTTTGTCAGCACGGGATCACAACGCGCGATAGTGTGAGTAGTATCGACAGACATTTTTTGACGTGGGAGGCGGAGCAGGGGGGGGGGGTTGCGGTAGGGTGGAGGTGGTGAGCACTTGAGGTTTCACGTGAGTTACTCAAGCGTTGGTGTCTGAGTACTAACATCACGTCATACTGTGTGAGTAGTTCGCTGTAGTCTCGTGAGTCACCATGTGTAGGAAAGGGGAAAATGAAAACAAGTCGCTGAAGATAGAACAACCGTGTGATTGTTAACGTTCACACTTTATGTCACCCTGCCACATATAGCTGACCTGGGGATATTTTTAACTCCACTTCTCTCTCACACACTACACTCGGTTTTAAGTAGTTGATTTTTTTTTTTAAATATGCGCATTTAAATAACAATATCCACGTTCGTAACGAAAATAGATATCCATTATTCAAATCTGACTTTGTAATGAAACCTGAACTGACGGTATACAAATAAACAAGTTACCAAACACGGTCCCATATCTAAATACCCCCCCCCCCCCCTCACACACATATCTTGTAAACAATAAGATATCTATTTATTATTTTTGGGGAAAATGTTTATGAACACAATGGACTGGAAGCGAAAGTACCAATCCTCGAAAAGATAACACCAAATTCGCCCCGCTACGGGAATTACACAAAAAGCTATTTATAGACCAAGATAAATAACCTACACGGTACATCCGGGAAAAGTCGAAGAAAATAAGATTTGCGAGTTACGTCAAGGTTAGGGAGGGGAAAATGGAGGGCTGGGTGGCATATGTCAACAAAAAAAGTTCACGTACAGTACTGTGTCAATATTTTGTATCATATTTTGGGTCCTGTATTGTACCGTGCCCATATTTTGTATCATATTTTAGGTTATGTACAGTAAGCAGGGAAGTGTTTGGGGGAGGGGGTGGGGTACACACAGAGTTTCTTCCAGGCATCTCTTCGGGGGGGGGGGGGGGGGCTTCGCCCTCCCTAAGAAAGTCTACCGCCCCCGAACGAAATGAAATTTATATAGAAAATATATATTTTGAACAGTGTCCGTCCCCCACCCCCCGAACAAAGTCTACCGCCCGCCCCCCCCCCCCCCCCGGAGAAAAAAGTCTGGAAGAAACACTGGGTACACAGACCTCAAAACGAAAGATGTCTCACGTAAAGCTGAAGTTAATCTATTTACGACGTCTCGAATAGAAACAACAAACTGACATTTTTAAAATGACTGACACCCCCCTAATAACACGATACATTCCTGGCTACTTGTGTGGTACTAGACTTGTCTATTACGATGTCCCATTGAATACAACTCACTGTTCTAGCAAGTCAGCACCTGTACACCCACCTGTTCAATAATGTCAGATTTCTTAGTTGAACGTTCTATAAAAGTGTCAGCCATTAGACAGGCAAAACCATATTCCATAACATTAACGAGGTCTCCATTATTCTCCATAACATTAACGAGGTCTCCATTATTCTCCATTACATTAACGAGTCTCTTTAACACCTTTGACTTTCAGCCCCGGCCAGTTAAGGTGGAACTAGAACATGACAAAGTTATTTCCCTTTAGTGTAATGATCTCCCTTCTACTCGATTTAGTCTTGTTTGATGTAGACAGGGGAAGATAATGTAGTATACAGCCCACCACCCCACCCTCCATAGACACAAACGTGGTTAAAACTTCCTTGTTTTGTTTTTATTTTTTTATCTATTTATTATTTTGTTGGAAATTTTTTATCCGCTTCCTTTTGTTAAATCTTTTTTTTTCAAATGTTTAAATCAGGATCTTTATAATACAACTCAGTAGAAACAGATTAGCGAACAAAAAAATTTAAATACCGAAACACCGGGTAGACTAAAGAACAGAAACAGCGGGTAGACTAAAGAACAGAAACACCGGGTAGACTAAAGAACAGAATCACCGGGTAGACTAAAGAACAGAAACACCGGGTAGACTAAAGAACAAAAACACCGGGTAGACTAAAGAACAGAAACACCGGGTTGACTAAAGAACAGAAACACCGGGTTGACTAAAGAACAGAAACGCCGGGTAGACTAAAGAACAGAAACACCGGGTACACTAAAGAACAGAAACACCGGGCAGACTAACAAACAGAAACACCGGGTAGACTAAAGAACAGAAACACCGGGTAGACTAAAGAACAGAAACACCGAGTAGACTAAAGAACAAAAACACCGGGTAGACTAAAGAACAGAAACACCGGGTCAGACAACAAGAACCTAGTTCAAATATCGATTCGTACTCGGTGCTAATAAATACCGTGACACAGAGTACCACAGATGTCTTCTTGTTATCGAACTCAACATCGAAATGGTATCAATACAATCAATATCAGAACCGCCCTTAATCGATAGATCGATAACATGACAGCCGTACTCTTTAAGCACTGAGCAGGCGGAGATTTTTAACAAGGAAGATTCTTGTCATACAAAGGGGGGGTAATCACTCCATTCAAAAGATTAGGAGTATTTTTGCGATACCCTGTGCTTCGTTAAAACAATTATGTGATTAAAACGTATGTGATTAAAACATTTCTTCCAATTATATCTCTTTAATTCTTAATTCTAGAAAATTAACAAATAGTCAACTATGTGAAACGGAACGAATTTTAAATGTTGAGGGTCACGGTTTAACCAGCCACGTTTGTTAATCTAAATTAGCTGAAATAATATAGTAAAACCCTCCCCTACCCCATACAGGACACGGGTGATGGAGGGGGAGGTGGTAGTGAGGTAAAAATGTATTATGTAATATTGCAAACATGACCATTATAACTATGATAATAAGAACAGTGAGTGCACACGTTGATTTCTATACACGGCTCGGGTTAATGTTCTTACCTGCCTCCCCCCCCCCCCCCCCCCCCCCACCACTACCACCACCCTTTCCCCAGCCGCGCCGTGAAACACAAAGCTGAGGAGAGATCGAATGTTGAATCAAGGTCAATATCTACCTACACACGGGCAAGTCACGCGTATTGAGAGGCTCGGTAACATAAGTTTCAACAATACACCACGGCGGTACGGCACATCGTACAGTACTCGTCTAGTCAGGTAGTAGGTAACAGATACTTTAACTGTTAGAGCTGGGGTTGTGTTTAATTTTAGAGCTAGGGTTAAAGTGTCATTCCTGGCGAGATTCTACGTTATAAACCCAGTAGTCCCCTGTTTAGAGCTAGGGTTAAAGTGTCATTCCAGACGAGATTCTACATTATAAACCCAGAAGTCCCCTGGGTTATGTCATATGACGTCAACAAAGGTCAGATGCCTGTACAGCATTCACAACAGCTGAGATTACATGTCAGTTAACTGTATGTGTGTCTAACATGACAACACACACTAGCCTACTTGATGTCAGTTAACTGTATGTGTGTAACATAAAATCACACACTAACCTACTTGATGTCAGTTAACTGTACGTATGTCTAACATGACACCACAAGCTAGCCTACTTGATGTCAGTTAACTGTATGTGTTCTAACTTGACATCACAAACTAGCCAACGTAATGTCAGTTAACTGTATGTGTGTAACATAAAATCACACACTAACCTACTTGATGTCAGTTAACTGTACGTATGTCTAACATGACACCACAAGCTAGCCTACTTGATGTCAGTTAACTGTATGTGTTCTAACTTGACATCACAAGCTAGCCTACTTGATGTCAGTTAACTGTATGTGTGTCTAACATGACATCACAAACTAGCCTACTTGATGTCAGTTAACTGAACGTGTGTCTAACATGACATCACACACTAACCTACTTGATGTCAGTTAACTGTATGTGTGTCTAACATGACACCACACACTAGCAACTTGTCAAGACTGATGTCCCTTTACACTTTACGTGACACACAGGGCCGGTGGTTAAGTCTGAGAACAATTACCATAACCAATGTGATGTGCTATGCATGTCGAATGGTTAACGTTCCTGTGGGACAACTGACTGAGTGAAAGTAAAGACACACTAAAGTTGGTCTCAGACTGTTAGAAGGTTTAACTTTAAACACACAAGTAAAACTGTGTTAAGATAAATAATAAACACCTAGATCTTAATCTAGATCTAGATACTAGAATCTAGATCTAGCTATGATAACATTAGGCCTACAAATAACTTGAATATAATAAAAACCATTCGCCCACTTATTTAAATTAAAAAAAAATATTTCTTTGTCTAGAATCTAGAAATAGTTAAGTTTAAATTTATTATTGTATTAATTAATTAACTCGACTTTGTTAAATTTTAGTGTACGCCGACCAAGGGATATGGAGTTTGAGATCAGAAATACCGAAATAGAGCACTCACGAAATTATTTTGTAAACAAAACATTTTAGAATAGGTGGGCGGTGCCAAGAATTAATTCAATATGTGAATATAATCACAACTAATCAATATACAAATTACAAAATATGGTCTATATATTACTAGATTCTATATAATAATTAATAATATCAAGAACAACAGTAGTGTCAGTAGTATAAAAAAAATAATAGGCTAAATAAATATATATTATAAGCCTATAGATCTAGTATTTAGTATTCTTGAGTCTATGACTCTATAGTCTATAGTTAGATAATATCAAGTCAAGTCCACTCACTGTCAAAATTTCACTCCCACCAATAAAATACCAGTCTCAGTCAGTGTACCACTGTCAGTGAGTGTCTGTTGTGTTGTGTTACTGTTAAAAATGAAAATACTCAACAATTTTCACTTTTTTTCTCACGAATAAAAAATAAAATAAAACTACAATTCACACGCTTTTAATAAAGGCTAAGCTGTATTTTAAAATAAAAATAAACGTACTTGTTCTTGTACATCCAGAACACATAGAAAATATAATATTTATCCCTAGGTCCTAGTGTAGTGTTCAGCTTATCCGGAACGTGTATGAATAACACAAGAGTTCTGCGTAGACTGTATTTAGAGTGATCTCCCCTCTACTTGGGCTTGGCCCAACTATTTTTTCTCCCCTACTTTTTCCGCCTGGTGGGTGTGTCTAGGAGTGGCCCATTCGCCTATCGGCCAAGATAATAATAGACGAGGGGGCGAAGAGGGGAAAAACGAGTGGATGGGTGGAGGCGGGCAGAGGCGGAGCAGAGGTAGGGGGGGGGGGACTGTTATTTAGTGGTGGTGCAGTTAGTTTACGCGAACGGTGAAAGGACGATTTTGTTGTGCCAAAAACTAAACGATATAAACAACAGGGGGGGGGGGGGGGGAAGGGAAGAGTAGGCGTGTTATAACGGTAGTAGAGGGTAGAGTAGGCAAGTTATAACGAATAGAGGGTAGAGTGGGAAAGTTATAACAGGAGGTGAGAGTAGAGTAGGCAAGTCGTAACAGTAGTAGAAGGTAGAGTAGGCAAGTTATAACGAATAGAAGGTAGAGTAGACAAGTTATATCAGTAGTAGAGAGTAGAGTAGGCAAGTTATATCAGTAGTAGAGAGTACAATAGGCAATTTATAACGAGTAGAAAGTAGAGTAGGCAAGCTACAACGGTAGTCGAGGGTAGAGTAGGCAAGTTACAAGAGTAAGGAGGAATTAAGCCATTAAGGTCTAGTAAATAATGGTCAGTGTTGTTTCGAAATTAATGAGTTTTATATAGGCCCCTAAGTTATGTAACATTTATATTATAACTATATCAGTTAAGTATTAATTGTGAGGAAATATTTTGGAAAGATGATACAGTCGTTTTGTATGACAAAAAAAAAAGTACCCTAAAGAGTAGCAAAGAATCCACTAGGAGATCTCGAGGAGAACTTGAGCATCTATCAATGTAACCATTGTAAGGTAGCGGTATTGAAGGCACGCAGTTCGACACTGGCGTTCTAAAACCTCGCCACACAGGATACATTGAGGTGGGAGGGGGGTGCGTGGTGGGGAGGGGTGGAGAGGGGGGGGGGGAGTTTTCCGGTAGATTACAAATCATCTTAGATTACTAGGGCCCCATATAAGGGCGTGGGTGGGGGTGAGGGAAGGAGGGAGGGGAGCCCCGAAGGTGGGCGAGGGTGTACACAATCCAGGTATTTTCTGTTCACAAATTAGGTAGGTGTGACAGGATGAAACCCGTGCCAGGGGAAAGGAGAGATGGGCTGAGGAAGATGAATAAGGGGGGGGGGAGGTTGGTGGGGGGGGGGGGGGGGCAATGGGGGTGTGTGAAGGGGAGATGTGTGTGGGGTGGAGTTTTAGGGGGAGATAGGTGGGGGAGATTGAAGGTTGGAGTTGTGTGGGGAAAGGTGTGGTGTGGGGGATATTGGTGAGGAGGGAGTTGTGTAGAGGGTGTGGTGTGGGGAAGTGTGGTTGGGAGGGGGTATAATGGCAGGGAGAAGGGGGTTGTTTGGGGAGGGGGTGTAGTGGAGAGGAGTAATGTGGTAGTGTGGTTGGGAGGGGGAGAGGTATTGGGGAAGTGTGTGGTGTGTAAGGAGTTAGTGTGAGGGAGAGAGGGGTAGGGGAGAGGTGTGGAGGAAAGAGTATGGGGAGTAAGGGGGAGGCTAATTAACAACGATACAGATGCGGGGCGAGGATAGTGCTAACGAGAGGCAGGATGCTGGAGGGTACGTAAGACTTAATTAGCCGAGAGGGGGGGGGGGGGGGGGGGCTCTGACGAAGCCGGGTATTCGAGGACTAAAGTAAACAATGTACGACCCTCTCTCAACTTCAGGTCACCGAGAGTCAGAACACCCCCCCTACCCCCCCCCCCCACCACACACACACGCCTCCGTGCGGGGAGAATTATGTCACAGTCCTCTGATGACATCTCGGCCCAGAAAATTATGTCACCGCCCCTAGCCTCCCCTTCCCCTTACCGGTTGTGTTGGTTTCATTTAAGGACATCCCTGTACACGTCAAAATAAAAAAAAAATTAAAAAATTAAAATAAAAACGAAAATAAAAACACGCCAGGTAAAACGAGTAGGTGTAGAGGGCTGCTGCAATAAAGGGGGAGGGGTGGGGGGGGGGGAACTACCGCTACCTTCGCTGTTTGAAAACTAACCGAGGCGTGTACGGTAGGTAAAAATTTGTGAGGGGGAGGTGCGTTGTTGTAAGGGTTGGGAGGGACAAGCAAGGAAGGACAGCTAGATGGACAGCTCAGGACAGCTAACTGGACAGCAGACATCACTGACACCAACGTTAAGTGTCGTTACCGTCTGATTAAATGCGGTCATAAGCCTGACGTGTTTTGTCATTCATTAGACAACATACTCATATTACATACACACACCCATTTATATATATATATATATATATATATATATATATATATATATATATATATATATATAGAACATACTACTTTGTGATTTCGTATGTATAGTGTTAGTATAATAGAAGATTAGTCGTATGCTGGACATAGTCATTATGGATACAAAGGGCCCAAGTCGCTATCGTATAGGTATGTTCCCTGTAATACCTGTTGGTCATTTTAACTGATGGGAGCACTGTACATATTATCAGTGGGTATGTCATTTGACTAAATATTGCGATTAGAGATTAAATGAGATACGGTTTCTGAGTTTGTGTATAACAAAAAACCAGCTCAAATTTATTTTTAAAAAGTATTTTTTTTAAATTCACGAAAAAAAAAACTATCTGCCAAAGATTGAAAAATTAAGCCCTGAATGCAAGTTATGGGTGAATACAATACCTTCTGTTGTATCACATATACCTGCCTTATACAACCGTCAGCGGATGTAAAATGTGAATCGGAAAAAGAAGAAAGAGCAGCGTTGTAGAGAGAGTTAACAGTAGAACGTGCATACGGGAGAAGGCAGGCGAATATTTCTCGGTCAACAATGCTGATTGTTTCCAATGCAGCAGCCGTTTAGTGCAATTAGCACGCAGCGACTTATCGTTATAACCCTAAACAACCCAGGGGTATAAAAACCTAACTTGAATGTACTGGCTGTTTTAATTGGCTGACAAAAAAGTGAGTACAATATGCGCACAATTTGCGAATTTAAAAAATTGTAATCACAAAAAAAAATTTTAAAAAAAATAAAAATTTTTTTTTAAAAATTTGGTTCAATGCACGATTTTGTTAGCGTGTTACTGCAGACTGTGTATACTGTATGTACAATATGTCCCACGCACATTCTGGTCATGAAATATCATCGACAAAACCTGGCGACAGATGTACTAGAAGTCCTGGTTAGTTGAGTACCTGGTCGGTAAGAGGCTTAGTCAAATAGTAGGAAAACCAATTACTTGACCGGCACGGAATGATCGGGGTTTATAGACATTTTTTTGTTTATTGTGGGATTTGGTACTACAGGCAGCGTCGTTGTAGGAAGGTGAGTAGGAGGAGCAGCGTCGCTGTAGGAGCAGGCTGGGTAAAGGCAACATCGTTGTAGGTTGGGGACAGCGTCGTTGTAAGAAGGTGAGTTGGAGGAGCAGCGTCGTTGTAGAACCAGGCTGAGATAAAGACAGCGTCTTTGTATGAGCAGGCTGGGATGTAGGCCACGTCGTTGTAGGCTGGGGGAAGCGTCGTTGTAGAAAGGCGAATAGGAGGAGCAGCGTCGTTGTAGACCTAGGCTGGGGTAAAGAGAGCGTCGTTGTAGGCTCGGGCAAGGTGAGGGCAGCGCCTCGTTGAAGGAGCAGGCTGGGTGAAGGCAACGTCGTTATAGGAGCAGGCTGGGTGAAGGCAACGTCGTTGTAGAAACAGGCTAGGATGTAGGCAACGTCGTTATAGGAACAGGCTAGGATGTAGGCAACGTCGTTGTAGAAACAGGCTAGGATGTAGGCAACGTCGTTATAGGAACAGGCTAGGATGTAGGCAACGTCGTTATAGGAACAGGCTAGGATGTAGGCAACGTCGTTGAAGAAACAGGCTAGGATGTAGGCAACGTCGTTGTAGGAACAGGCTAGGATGTAGGCAACGTCGTTGTATGAACAGGCTAGGATGTAGGCAACATCGTTGAAGAAACAGGCTAGGATGTAGGCAACGTCGTTGTAGAAACAGGCTAGGATGTAGGCAACGTCGTTGTAGGAACAGGCTAGGATGTAGGCAACGTCGTTGTATGAACAGGCTAGGATGTAGGCAACATCGTTGAAGAAACAGGCTAGGATGTAGGCAACGTCGTTGTAGAAACAGGCTAGGATGTAGGCAACGTCGTTGTAGGAACAGGCTAGGATGTAGGCAACGTCGTTGTATGAACAGGCTAGGATGTAGGCAACATCGTTGAAGAAACAGGCTAGGATGTAGGCAACGTCGTTGTAGAAACAGGCTAGGATGTAGGCAACGTCGTTGTAGGCCCAACCAGGGTGGGGGAAACGTCGTTGTAGGGGCAGGTTGAAGGCAGCGTCGTTGTAGGGGCAGGCTGGGATGTAGACAGCGTCGTTGTAGGCTGGGGGCAGCGTCTTTATAGGAAGGTGAGTAGGAGGAGAAGCGTCGTTGTAGGAGCAGGCTGGGTGGGGGAACGTCGTTGTAGGCCCAACCAGGGTGGGGGAAGCGTCGCTGTGGGCGGGGTGAAGAGACCTTGGGGTTCTGGAATCAGGTAAGACAACAAGGGCTCGTGTTCCAGGTGGGTCACGTGTTCGGGGTCTATTTATAGAAGGCATGAAAGATTTTTTTTGAAGCGGTAGGTTGTCCTGAAGGCTGTAATCTGCCCGTACTATCGCCAGCCCCCACAGACCCCGGGCACACAGGGCCTCGCGTCAATACCGCCTCCTTGTAAGCCCGGGTGAAGCTTTTCATGCAGATTGGACCCAGGGCCCCTTGCCTATATGTCATCACTGAGCATGTAGCAACAAAAAAAAAATAAACACACACACGGACGTATCTGATAACGGAGAGGGGTATAACAATAGGATGGCTTTAGCTTAGGCGTAAGGTTTTTTTGTGTATCAGCTATGACATGTATAGCGGGGAGCGGGGGGCACTCGACGGCTGTACGATACCTTATTTCAATGCTAGAGAGCACCAATAGACTACCTGTAAATACGCTAGGACAGGATGTCCAGAGACGCTGTGGTA